ATGCTGATCACACGGAAGGGGCTTCAGAAGCAAGTCTCCTTCATTTAATATGTCTATGCTCAAGCTATCACCAGAACATTAATATAAACACCCCCTCTAAAGAAGAGGAAAGTATTATCAACTGGGGGCCTTCAGTTCTCCCCTCCATGGCCAAGATGCTTCTTCATCACGGTGTTAAGCAGGGCTCCAAGGGAAAGGGTAAAACTCCCATTCAGTTCTAACGATCCAGGGAAGTTCATCAGCTTAAGAGGATCATGACACAATCAAGCCCCCATCGGTAAAAAGGGCTATCTATAAATCATTAGAGATTGAGGGTGCCAAGAAAGCTACTGGATTCGTTCAGCATAATAGGCAGAAAGCTTGCATTTGCCAAATGCTTTACAACCATTTTTTATGAAGTATTACTCATAATACCCTGGGAGATAAATGAACAATATAATCACCATTTTATAACTAAGGAAGCAGATGCCATGAAGGCACTCTGGAATTTAATAGCAAACTAATGTAAGAACCCTCAGCCAAACTCTCCAAGCCAAGGTTCTTTCTAGTGAACTGTTTTGCCTCATAGCAAGAATGTCCTAACACTGATGTAAAACAAGGATATGACTTTAAAATCCTAACCCAGGCAAAACTGACCTTCATGAATTGCAGCTGAGGACCTGAACAAGAGAGAGTCCATTTCCTGCTGTGATGCAGACTATTTGATTGATGTCAATAGGATAGATACTGCAACAAGGGGACCCCAAAACACAAGGGCTTAAATACTTTATTTTTCTCTTAAATAATAGCCCAGGCTGGGCGCGGCAGCTCACGCCTGTAATCCCAGGACTCTGGGAGGCCAAAGTGGGTAGATTGCTTAAGCTCAGGAGTTTGAGACTATCCTGAGCCAGAGCTAGACCCTGTCTCTAAAAAATAGTTTGGAATTGTGGCAAGTGCCTATAATCCCAGCTACTCAGGAGGTGGAGGCAAGAGAATCACTTGAGCCCAAGAGTTTGAGGTTGCTGGGTCTAGGACACCACAGTACTCTCTACTAAGGGTAACAAAGAGAGACTCTGTCTCAAAAATAACAACAATCATAATCCAGAGATAGACTAGCCATAGCTAGTGGGGCCCTGATCAGGTCTAATGGAGAACAGAAGGCATATGTTAGACTGGCTCCTGATTACAATGCTTTGGATGTTGCCAACAAAATTGGGATCATCTAAACCAAGTCCAGCCAGATAATACTAAATATGTAACTTTTCACCATAAAGAAAAAAAAATGACCAGAACTCATAACATAACAAGTCCATAGTCTTAGAGGAAAGTACATAATAGGCTTATTTTATGAAAATCATTGTATGACTTGGTGTCTAAAGAGTCTTGTGTGTTCCTAAAGTTTTAGTCTTACAGAAATATTTACCAGTCTTACTCACAGGTTAAAAACAAACAAAAAACCTCAATATTTCTTAAACAAACTTTTAACCACATATTCTCAAGACAGAGTCTTACTCTGTCCCCCTGGGTAAAGTGCCATAGCATCATAGCTCACAGTAACCTCAAACTCTTGGGCTTGACCAATCCTCTTGGCTCAGCCTCCAAGTAGCTGGGATTATAGGAGAATCTCTTGAGCCCACAACACCCAGCTTGTTTTTCTATTTTTAGTAGAGATGGGGGGTCTCATCCTTGCTCAGGCTGAACTTGAACTCCAGCGATCAAGTAATCCACCAGCCTTGGCCTCCCAGATGGTAGGATTATAGGCATGAGCCACTTCACCTGGCTTAACCACTTTCTTTTTTTTAAGACAAAGTCTCACATAGCTCAGTGGGTGGGGTGCCAGCCCCAGATACCAAGGGTGGCAGGTTCGAACACAGCCCTGGCCAAACTGTAACAAAAAATAGCCGGGCATTGTGGTGGGCACCTGTAGTCCCAGCTATTCAGGAGGCTGAGGCAAGAGAATAGCCTAAGCCCAGGAGTTGGAGATTGCTGTGAGCTGTGACGCCACAGCACTCTACCGAGGGTGATAAAGTAAAACTCTGTCTCTAAAAAAAAAAGTCTCATTATTTCACCCTCAATAGAGTGCCTTAGTATCTCAGTTCACAGCAACCTCAAACTCTTGGGCTCAAGAGATTCTCTTGCCTCAGCCTCCCAAGTAGCTGGGACTACAGGCGCCCACCACAACATCTGGCTATTTTCTTGTTGCAGTTGTCATTGTTGTTTGGCTGGCCTAGGCCAGGCTCCAACCCACCAGCTTTGGTGCCTGTGGCTGGCACTGTAACCACTATGCTATGAGTACCAACCTGGCTTAACCACTTTCAATAAAGATATGGGAATACAGGTTGAGTATCCCTTATCCAAAATTCTTTTTCTTTTTTTTTTTACCTTATCTGAAATTCTTAGGACCAAGTGTTTGATTTTGAATGTTTTCAGATTTCAGAACATTTGCATATACATAATGAGTTATCTTGGGGATAGAAACCATGTCTAAACATGAAATTTATTTACATTTCATATATCCCTTATACACATAGCCTGAAGGTAATTTTATACAATATTTTATATGACAAAGTCCCAAAGCTGTAGATGCTGGCATGGATATGGAGAGAAGGGAACACTTTTACACTGTTGATGGGACTGTAAACTAATACAGCCTCTTTGGAAAGAATTATGGTGAATCCTCAAAGAACTCAAATTAGACCTCCCATTTGATCCTGCAATCCCATTACTAGGCATCTACCCAGAAGAAAAAAAAATCATTTTATCATATCACATTTCCACTAGATTGTTTATCGCAGCTCAATTTACAATCACCAAGATGTGGAAACAACCTAAATGCCCATCAACTCCGGAATGGATTAACAAGCTGTGTTACATGTACACCAGGGAATATTATTCGGCCATAAAAAAGATGGTGACTTCACATCTTTTGTATTAACCTGGATGGAGTTCAAACATATTCTTCTTAGTAAAGTATCACAAGAATGAAAAAGCAAATATCCAATTTATTTCATACTAATATAAAGCCAGTAGACGATTTAATGCATGCCCACATGGGAACTCATTTCAATTCAAGCTCAAGGAAAGGGGAGAATAGCAGAGGAGGTGGGGACTTCCCACTGAATGGGCATTGTGTGGGGGTGTTTGGCACACCTTTTGAGTGCAGGACATAACTACAAGAGGGACTCTACCTAATAAATTCAAATATTTTAACCTGGTTGTACTCTCACATTAACCTGAAACTTTCTTTAAAAAAACACAATATTTTATATGATATTTTTAATAATTTTGTGCATGAAATAAGTTTTTATTAATTTTATGGAATTTTATGCTTAAAAAGTTTGGGTTTTGGTGCTTTTGGGATTTCAATTTTTCAGATTAGTATTGCTGAACCTGTATTTGTAGAATATTAGTGGATCACTATTCAGTTTCCTCTATAAGCCTGAATAATCGTGAATACCTTACCAAAGGTCAGTACAAAGGATACTAAGTACTTTAGACTGTACTAATCTTCATGGTTGGGGAAAATATAATTTATGTACACTTCCTCTGCTGTGTTCATATAAATTCACACTCCTGTTAGTATAGGAAGTATGGAAGGACAGCTTCTAGAAATAGGAGATAACTAAATGTGAATTCTCTCAGGGTCTGAGAACATTTTAAAAGATATTCTCGTGGGTCCACTCTCATCATCTTTTAAGTGTCACTCAAGGCCAATTTTAGCAAACACAACAGATAATGAAGTTGATAGCAGAGACCAACAAAGCTGTTATTTTTAAACTGGCTCTGATAGTATTTCTGAAGATAGTAATATAAGATTAATGGAAATGAAGCCCCAACAAGAAAAGAAAATTATAGACCAATATCACTAATGAATATTGATACAAAAATATTCAACAAGATCCTAACAAACAGAACCCAGCAACACATCAAACAAAGTATACACCATGACCAAGTGGGTTTTATCCCAGGGACTCAAGGCTGGTTCAACATACATAAATCTATAAATATAATTCATCACATAAACAAATTAAAAAACAAAGACTATATGATTCTGTCAATCGATGCAGAAAAACCTTTTGATACTATCCAGCATCCATTCATGATCAGAACACTTAAGAAAATTGGTATAAAAGGGACATTTCTTAAACTGATAGAGGCCATCTACAGCAAACCCACAGCCAATATTATATTGAATGGAGTTAAATTGAAATCACTTCCACTCAGATCAGGAACCAGACAAGGTTGCCCACTGTCTCCACTGCTTTTTTAACATTGTAACGGAAGTCTTAGCCATGGCAATTAGGCAAGAAAAGGTGATCCAGAGTATCCATATAGGGTCTCAGAAGAGATCAAACTTTCACTCTTCATAGATGATATGATTGTATATCTGGAAAACACCAGGGATTCTACTACAAAACTCTTAGACGTGATCAAGGAATACAGCAATATCTCAAGGTTACAAAATCAGGGGCAGCGCCTGTGGCTCAAAGGGGTAGAGTGCTTGCCCCATATGCCAGAGGTGGCAGGTTCAAACCCAGCCCCAGCCAAAAAAAAAAAAAAAAAAAAAACTTGGGGCAGCACCTGTGGCTCAGAGGAGTAGGGCACTGGCCCCATATGCCAGAGGTGGTGGGTTCAAATCCAGCCCCAGCCAAAAACTGCAAAAAAAAAAAAAGGTTACAAAATCAACACTCATAAATCTGTAGCCTTTACATACACCAACAATAGTCAAGCTGAAAAAATAGTCAAGGACTCTATTCCTTTCACAGTAGTGCCAAAGAAGATGAAATATTTGGAAGTTTGCCTAATAAAGGTTGTGAAAGATCTCTGTAAAGAGAACTATGAAACTCTAAGGAAAGAAATAGCTGAATGTTAACAAATGGAAAAACATACCATGCTCTTGGCTGGGAAGAATCAACACTGTTAAAATGTTCATACTACCCAAAGTGATATACAATTTTAATGCAATCCCTATTAAAGCTCCACTGTCATACTTTAAAGATCTCGAAAAAAATATTTTGTTTGTACTTACCTAGCAGGGGAGATACCATGATCATGAAGGTGGTTTTCCCAGGGCAAGGCTCATCCATTGCACTCCGGATGTGCTGACCCCTGAGATTTCCCCAAATGTGGGAAACTCGACTGCATAATTTGTGGTAGTTATAAAATAATAATACTTCATTTTATATGTAATCAGAAAAAACCTTGAATAGCCAGGACATTACTTAGAAATAAAAACAAAGCAGGAGGAATCACCCTACCAGACCTCAGACTATACTATAAATTGATAGTGATCAAAAAACAGCATGGTACTGGCACAAAAACAGAGAGGTAGATGTATGGAACAGAATAAAGAACCAAGAAATGAACCCAGCTACATACTGTTATTTGATCTTTGACAAGCTACTTAAAAACATTCAGTGAGGAAAAGATTCCCTATTTAACAAATGGTGTGGTGTAAACTGGCTGGCAACCTGTAGAAAACTGAAACTGGACCCACACCTCTCATCATTAACTAAGATAGACTTTCCCTGGATTAAAGATTTAAACTTAAAACATGAAACTATAAAAATACTAGAAGAAAGTGCAGGGAAAACTCTTGAAGAAATCGGCCTGGGTGAATATTTTATGAGGAAGACCCCCAGGCAATTAAAGCAACATCAAAAATACACTACTGGGACCTGATCAAACTTAAAAGTTTCTGCACAGCCAAGAACACAGTAAGTAAAGCAAGTAGATAGCCCTCAGAATGGGAGAAGATATTTGCAGGTTATGTCTCCAACAAAAGTTTAATAACCAGAATCCACAGAGAACTCAAATGTATTAGCAAGAAGAGAACAAGTGATCCCCTCAAAGGGTGGGCAAAGGAACTTGAAGAGAACTTCTCTGAAAAAGACAGGCGCACGGCCTATAGACACAGGAGAAAATGCTCATCATCCTTAATCATCAGAGAAGTGCAAATCAAAACCACTTTGAGATATCACCTCACTCCAGTAAGATTAGCCCACATCACAAAATCCCCAAACCAGAGATGTTGGCATGGATGTGGAGAAAAGGGAACACTTCTACACTGTTGGTGGGAATGCAAACTAATACGTTCCTTTTGGAAAGATGTTTGGAGAATACTTAGGGATCTAAAAATAGACCTGCCACTTGATCCTATAATTCCTCTACTAGGTATATATCCAGAAGACCAAAAATCACATTATAACAAAGATATATGTACCAGGATATTTATTGCAGCCCAATTCATAATTGCTAAGTCATGGAAGAAGCCCAAGTGCCCATCAACCCATGAACGGATCAATAAATTGTGGTATATGTACACCATGGAGTATTATGCAGCCTTTAAAGAAAGATGGAGACTTTACCTCTTACATGTTTACATGGATGGAGCTGGAACATATTCTTCTTAGCAAAGTATCTCAAGAATAAAAGAAAAAGTATCCAATGTACTCAGCCCTACTATGAAACCAATTTATAGCTTCCTCATGAAAGCTATAACCCAATTATAGCCCAAGAAGTAAGGGAAAGGGGAGTGGGAGGGATGGAGAAGGGGGAGGATGGGTGGAGGGAGAGTAATTGGTGGGACCACACCTAAGGTGCATCTTACAAGGGTACATGTGAAATTTACTAGGTATCAAATATAAATGTCTTAACACAATAACTAAGAAAATGCCATGAAGGCTATGTTAATCAGTTTGGTGAAAACATTTCACATTGTATATAAAACCAGTACATTGTGCATTAATGTACACAGCTATGATTTAATAAAAAAAAAAAAAAGATTAATGGAAACGATATGTTGCCTTCCAAGGTGATTACTTTTGAAGGCAAAACCCTATAAATGTTATTCTGTTTAATTTGGCTACTTTTTTAAAAGTCTCATTGCTTTATAATTAGGTAATCATTATGTATTATGTGAAATGAGTGCTTGCTGCATGCCAGCCACTTTAATAAACACTTTCATGTGAATTTATCATCTTAACTTCACAAAAGTGTGTCTCCACCTGTTATCCAGTGTCTCAAAGTTGCCTGTCTGCCATCCATTCTCCCTTTCTTCCTTAGAAGACATCCACAATTTTATGTGAAATTTCCATGTGCTCAACTGAAGCACTAAGTTACTAGCTCACCCAGTGATTAGGAGTAGCCAATGAGATAGAAAAAGAAGTTGTTGCGTGAACCTTTGAGAAAAAGAAAGATGGATCGCTCTCTTTAATCTTTCCTATTCTCCTGCCATCTGTGGATGGGGATGGATGGATGAGAGTTTGATATTCCCACTGCCATCTTGTAACTTATGGATGGAAATCACAAACCAAAAGTGACAGTGGATGAAGATAAAAGAAACCTAGGGCTCTGGTAAGATCATGCAGATAGCTGCCAATCCAGCTCATAGCCGTCTAGTATCAGAATTATTTTATACAAAAGAAAAATGAACTTTTAGTATAAGTATTATTCTGGGGGATATTTTGTTCTCTTTTTTTCAACCTAATCTTAACATACTTTGCCTTTATCTTACATATAACAGTATTGAGACCACATATAAGAGAGCTGAGAATTCAGTAACCTGTCAAAGATCCACAGCTAGGCAAGCTGAGAGCCAGGATTCAATCTGGCAATCTACCTCTCAGGGCCCACATATGCATTAGTTTACTGATTAATAAAGAAATACACAATATCTGTCCATTTACTTGTATTAAGCTCCAATACAATACAATAAAATCACCGAAGTGACACAAGGTGAAGTAAGGTAGACTCTCTAAGAATCCAAGGTACTGGCTCGGCGCCTATAGCTCAACCGGC